TCACCACCATCATCAACATCTTCACCATCAGTTTTATCATCACCACCCTCATCGTCATTGTTTTGTCATCACCATCGCCACTACCAGCGACATCATCACTTCTCTCATCAGTAGTTATCAGGTCATCTAGAATTTACAGTGTGCTTATTCTGAATAAGACATTCTGCTCAAAGATTACATATATGTTTTCAGTTAAGCCTCACAGTTATGATACAGGCAGATGCTATTATTGCTCCCCCTTCCATAAATGAGGACACTGAGGTACAGAGAGGTGAAGTAACTTGTCCGAGGTTATATGAAAATCTTGGTTTCTTGATTTCTATTTCCATACATCCATTGGGTAAGTAATGACTTTGTTTAATTCACAACTTGGCTTGAATGTTGTTACCTGACTTTGACTAAGGTTTCTATAATAATATTAACTAGGCCTTTGGTACACACACTGTGGTCCATGAACCTGCACCATCAGCTTTATCTGAGGGTTTGGTGGAAGGATGAACCTGAGGCTCCCAGCCCAGACCGATGGAATCATATCTGCATTTTAACAGAACCCCAGCCGATGATCTGAGAGCACACAGCAGTGCAGGAAGCAGTGCCCTAGCATACATCCCTTTGTTCTTTTCTGACACAGACCTGAAACAGGCATATGCCATGGTCCTACAGGGGTTGTACCACCTGTAGAACCAACTTGCTATTGTCTCTGCCTAATAGACAGTGTGCAGAAATGTTTTTGGGGCATCACCAATTATTTGCACTTGGAAAGCACAAGGTCACATAGCCAGTATCTCCAGAATAGCATGGAAGGCTGGTGGGGGAAGCGTTCCCTGGAATTGAGGCTAGGGATGAGCTACTTGCAGGACCTTACCATCCCCTCACCCTATGGCAGGGGTCATCATCAGCTGGCTGCCCTCACAGATGACAGCTTGCCAGCTGGACCCCTGCTGTGTGCAGTTGTTTCTGCACAGATACACAGATTATTTTACCTGCATTAAAGGACATTGATTATTGGCTGTATTTGTTGGACTCTTTGAGTCCTTTTGAGTCCTTTCTTCCTCGTGCACAAATTGAGATAATGAACAGAGTCTGTCTCCATTATCAGGTTATGACAAAGACTAAAACACCAATCAGAGTTTACATAATAACTGCTGACAATTGAATAGAATAAAAGCTATAACAGAGTTAATAGTATTGTACTTACACCAATTACTTGATTTTGATGTGCTACAATTGTATAAGATGTCACCATTGGGAGATGCTGAATGAGGAATTCACAGGACTCTGTACTATTTTTGTAACTTCCTATGAGCCTATAATCATATACACACAGGCAATGGTATCATGCAGCAAACCTTTCTAGTAAACAGCATACCTGGTTCTGGCTGAATCAAGCAAGGAAGACCAGAAAGTAATGAGCAGTCCTGTCTGGGAGCCCCTGCTGGAGGCATGATCTCCACTTTGCTGCTCGTTCACTGCTCTGCCTGTGACTCAGGTTCCAGGTAGGGAGCCAGCTATGGGCCCAGGACTGAAGCACCTGCTATACCTGAGGTCTGGGAGGGCAAGGTGTCTGGGTAATAGTCCCATTGGATGGAATTCGGGGGCTCTTCAAAAGGATTTGGATGTCTTGTTGCCAGAGCTTGCTATGCAGCCAGATAAGCACTTGAACGTTACACACCTCTGCCTTGGTACTCACGGACAGAGCCAGTGAGCTTCTGTGTAGGGTAGAGACCTGTGTGCCCCCAGCCCCTCCTGAGCACTAGGTCACCCTAGAGCAGGAACACATGTGATTTCAACCCCTCTATGTGCTCTATAAGCTTGTGTGTTTGTACACACATGTCATACCCCTATGAGGAATTATATGGAAAGAACAGTGTTGAATTTTACATGCATAGCTTTTTTTCTTATAGAGGAGAAGACAGTGGTCAGTTATAATTCTCCATTGCTAATATTAACATAGTTGCATTCATGTTCTCTTAGCTCTTTTTCAGGCACAAATTTGTGTTTTCTCAAGCATTTAAAGCAGATCACAGAACTTAGAAGTGACGTCTCTGTCTACTGCTTTATCACGATTTTTCAAAATTTCTGACGGAAGCATCACTGTCCTCATTTTCCAGCCCGGCATCTCCAGGGCGGACGTGGATAGACGCCTCTGTCAGTTTACACACTGCTCAATGACAGGTTGCAGAAAACTCAG